TATTAAACTTAAATGTATTTAAGTACTGCCTGTGGCAGGTAATTAAACTTTGAAAGGACAGGGAGGCCAAAGGTGAAAAAGAAGGATTTTAAAAATGCACGATGAGCACCACAGCAAAACATAATGGACATGTAACCCTAGGATTGTCATCCTGGGGTGTAAGAGAGAGACAGGTACTTAAGAAAACTATTTTGGTAGAGGCTGTGGCAGCACCAGAGCAAAGTATCATAGACTTTGAAGAGACGATCAACTTTGGAGTAGACAGGGAACACTTTTTTTTGTTTCAGCTTACATATTAGGACCTTTAGTACAAGGTAGATATACGCAGATGGAATTGATAAAGAATTATTGTTACAGATTATTTTTAAATGACAGCACCCCAGAACATTGTCATGAACTTTTAGGACATGAGAGAAGCAGAGCACATTTGGTTTGAAATATCCAAGTAATGTCCAGCATGGCCCACCTCCTAATTTATTGCCTGACAGTCATTGAGGCATGTACTCTAGAATGCTTCCTTCATTGACTCTTTACAACATTTGGACTGGACGTGGAGTGGGTGTTCTCTGCCTGAGACCACTTTGATGTTATGAAAAAGTAGAGAGTTCAGGATATCACAAAGGCTTCTCTTAACCTATATCTATCAACCTATCTATATATGTATTAATCTACCTATACACAGCTAGCAAATTTTTTTACTTGGTCTGTAACTGAATGGGAGTCTAACAATTATTCTCCCACAGGGGCCCTTTGCTGACTTTGTCCACCAGTGGTGCAGCTGTTTCTTAGCAAAGCATCATGAACATGAAATTGTTTCAGCCAAAGTGTTAGAGAATGAAAAAATCAAGAAAATATACACCTTTATGGGGTGTAACAGCACAGCAACAAAGCATCCTGGACTTTAGGTAGTCATAGGGAATGAAGAGATATAATACAAGGCAGCATAGGGCAACCTACCCCAGATCCACAGAAACTAAAAATGGTGCAAAATGATATGTTCACATGAAACAAATGATCTTATTCCTGATCCATAATCAGTCTACATAAATCTAGTGGCTGATATCTTGTAAATATTCAATTCTAAATAAAAGCCTGTATTAAATGTCTTTAAAATTGTACAATGTTTACATTTTAAAACAAATACATTTATGACATCAAATAAAATAATAACCAAGAGAAAAAAAGAATAGGTTACCTGGAAAGTTGACCTTTTCTTAAAGTAGAACTCAGGCAAATCAATTCTTAAGCCTTGCAGTGTGAGAGTGAGTATAACTTTGTTATTTTAGCTCTCTAGGAAAAATAAGCACTTAAAGTGACATTAAACCCTCAGATTTTTTAACATAAAACAATACTGTAATGTGTGCCTTACTGTAATCCATGGTTTTTTCCCTTCTCTTTGCTGCTCTTCCTTTTAAATCTGTATCTGTTCAGATGCTGGGGAGAACTTCTGTTTTGCAGCAGACTGCCCTGTCTCTGGAATGGATACATGGTGTCTGTGGGTAGGTTTGCAACCTGAGCCAGCACTACAGGAAGAGGCACTCAGCTGCAAAGGGAAGTTCTCCCCCAGAATGAGAAGACATGAGGATTTAAAAGGAAGAGCAGCAAAGAGAAGGGAAACTACCATGGATTACCGTAAGGCACACATTACAGTATTGTTTATGTAAAAAAAATCTGAGGGTTTAATGTCACTTTAACCCTTGCAGTGTGGGGTTAGCCCCACTGCAAGGGTTAAGATTTTGTTTGTTTGCCCAGAGTTCTGCTTTGAGTAGAATTCAATTGTACGTGCTTTTTATATATTTTCTTGTATGTATACGTTCCTCAAGTTCCTCACCAAAATGTAATTTGAGTGCATTAAAGTGACATTAAAGGCAGATATCCCAATGGTGCTGTACAGACTTACCTTATGTGATGCCTTTTGATCCGAACAGCTTCTTCCTTCCACTCTTTTTCGACAGTTCCTCCAGCACTGGTGCCAGTCTCTGATCCAGCGCAGACTCCTCGTGTCCCACAGAGTCTGTCCGGCGTGCGCACTTCTGGCTGGGTCCATTGAGTTTTAGGGGTTGATTTACTAACCTTATAAACACGCCGCGAACAAGTATACACCTCTGTAGTGTGTTCCCTCCCAGCATGATCTATTGGTGGAATCTAGACACCTTTGTAGTGTAAACACACCCAGCAGGTGTGTTGTGCAAAGCCCTGCATGAATTGCAAGGTGATGTTGTGTAAATTAGCTCTACGTTGTGTTGCTTGCGTTGATGAATGCAGGAATGTAAATGCATGAGCTAACCATTTTTGTCTAAACTGTGAAGCAGTATTATATATGCATCATGTGCATGATTTTTCCATATATGGCATTAGTGGAAATATGCTTTTAGAGATTTGCATGCCGCTATTAGAGCGGCTTGTAGCCTATGGCGCATGCTACATGACGCGCACGTACGTAAATACATAAAAACGCGCCATAATGGCGTCAAAATGTGACACGTTACTCGTGTTTGGTTGATAAATACGTTTTGCTGTGTAAAAATGCACACGCACCTGGTGCGTGTGTGTGTTTAGGTTAGTAAATCACCCCCTTAGTGTCGCTCTCCCCTCCAGTGATCTGGACTGCAGATGCGCCCGCCCACACTTCCTCCTTCACAGTGTTCAGACTTCTGCAGGCGGGAGCGAGCGGCACTGACACAGGTAAGTTAGTTGGTATTTGCCAACTTTTTTTAATGTATATATACCAAAAAAAGGACTTTAATACCACTTTAACATAAACATCCATGTTGTTACAGAAAAAACTTAACTGCTATTGTACATTGTTTGTACAATACTTTCAACAAAACAATATGGCACAAAGCATGACTTGTGAGTAGAAGAAAGGAGTATGATGTGTAAATTAAAGGGATATGATCAATCCTGATCACTGGAGCCTGGAGATCCTATTCCTATTGGTGACCCTTTAACCAGTCCTGAGTAACAGTTTGCAAAGTCATACAGATATGTGTATATATATATATTTGTATATGCTATGTGTATATATATTTGACATCTTATATATATCTATATCTATATATATATATGCATATATATAGATATATATACTCGCTCCATGGCTCGTGCCAACAATCATCCCACGTTCAAAGGCTGTTAAATCGCATTGTTTACCCATATCTTCAGAAAAAAATCACTTTTACTGTTGTGGTAAACAACCTGCTTCCCTATTTATAATGGTCTGCCCTCTAGCAACTTCAGCACGAAATTATAGCTAATTATAGCTAATTTGCCTACAAACGTCAGGTGGTCATAATAAACTGGCCACTCAGTGTATATATATATACTGTAAATCCTAAATAGACAAAAGGAGTAAAGAGGAGCTGACTTTTAGATTATATTCTATCCATTCACTGGTGAAAACAAAAGAGGTAATCTATTGTATTTGTCAATAAACAGGTCCTCCTTGCACTTGTTTCTGTTAGTTAAAACATCTGATTTAAAACTAGTGATTGATCAGTTAGAACTGCTGTAATTTAAGGCTACCCAAACATTTTTACTAACATCTCAATAACTCTGTGCTTGTTTAGTGATAACCACATAGTATGGTGTTAACAGACAATAACACAAACTGGTTTGTGATAAAAGAGCTTGGCATGGCTTGCAGAGATTATCAACCATGTGCAGAAATCTGTTAGAACACTTCAGCAAAACTGCAATTAAGATAAGAATCATATGAGTTGGGATTTAGTGACTGTAGAGAGAATGGGCAGAAGCTTGAGCTTTATCACATGTGTATTCGTGACCTTATTTGCTTTAAGGATTGTGTAGACGGGTTTCAAATTCAGAAGAGAGTCATAGTGTGCCTCTGAACTGCTTTGACGTGCATTTGTTGCTTTGATTTGCCTTTCAGTTGCTCAAGCAGTTGCTTCAAGCTGCTCCTGAGTTGCATCCAGCGGGTTCTGAATTGCATCAGGCTTCTTTGAGTTGCTTTTGTATTCACATTGATGTCTAAGCGGATAAAAAGCAGCTCTGAGGCAAACAAAAGTTCATGTACATTGAGTGCTAAAGCAGATTATATTTGTGGAGACCACCTACCACTATCAAGGTGTTTCTGCAGTACTGTATATGATGTACTTTATAGACACACATGTCCTGTTTACAACTGCATTGCCAAAATCCAGGCCTCCTCTGGCAAATGGCCCTGGTCTGGAAGATTTGGTATCTTCCTGTGAAGCCTTGCTCCCAATATAATCACTTTTATATGTCTTTAGTGCTGAAGTTCTGATAGTTTGAAGAACACTACAAAAACTACCACATTGCAGTATATGGTTGTAGTATTTATTTGCAATTTCTGCTTTTTCTTTACAGCTTGCCAGAAAAAATCTTAATATTTTTTAAATAGTGAATTTAAGACTAGAAGTTTGTGTACAAACTGCAGAGATAATGAAGATAAAATAAAGGATATGTAAAAAACATAACATATAATGTTATCAAAGGAGGATAGGCACAGCAAGATATTCTTTAATTATATTAATACTAAAATAAATAATTTAAACCAAAGACCAGTAACTGCAGGGCAAAGTGTATATAACACTTAAACAGAACGCAAAAGAACAAGGCAATATAGAATATGCTTTAAGATTTTATAATATTCTAAACACTATGGCTTATTGTCTTACTTTCTATAATGATTGTCAATGTCACCAGGGTGACTGTCAGCCACAGCACTTGCAGGGCTTGTGATGTATTCACATCCTCCCAGTCCTGCGGTCAAGGTCTGAATGTTCCTATTGAACAGAGTGCATAGACTTGCCAGTCACGAATTGTGTATTGTGAAATAAAGATATTTCAATTGTAGGACCAGTATTGCCAATTATACTTTGCAATTTTGATTTCTTAGCCAATCTCAAATGTTAATCAGTCCTCCTTATACACTGTCCGAGTCCTTTCTACTCACATTGGGAAAGAAAGGCAAATATATAAAACAAGCAGGGAGCAGCATCATTGTTATTTCTTACCTGATGCCTTCTCTTTTTATCATGAATACAGTTCTTGAAAGGCACATTGGAACATCCATGATGGACTTTACTAAGAAGTAATCTATTTAACTGCTTTCGTCATACTTGTTCAACCAATAGAATAGGGAGGGTGCAGCAGCCGTGCTGCGGTGATTGAGTAAACCTTTTAAATGTGATACTAATGAAGATGTAATCTGAGCAAACTCTTATGTATTGACTCCTGTTCTGTTCTGTTCTGTTCTACGCTATGCTGGCTTCTTCCAGAGCCAGCAACAATCTGCTGCACAAAAGGAATTGCTGTAAAAGGTTTACAATGCATACAGTTGGTACAACTTGATGTGCATAATGCTATTGCCAACATCATTACTGTTCATTTCACCATTCTAATGCAAAGTTGTCACATATGAAGCTTGATCACAATCCTGAAGAGGAGACTGGAACTCAAAACAAATCACTTTTGCCTTTTATATTTATACCGCCATTGTTGAGTAATCAGCAGAGGAAAATCTAATTGTACTTCTCTGTGATTGTGAATTTATGCAAATATCTATTTAGCAATACAATTTGTAATTTAAAAACATTTTATCAACTGTTGTAAAAAATTGTAAACCAGAAAGAAACATTTAGATACCTTCTGTAAATTGTATCACAATAAAAGTAAATTGCTTGAAATATATATTCTGAGGAACTGGCTGACAGGGTTGTGGATGGTGTATGTTTCACCTAGGTTTCTAACCTTTCTTGTGGTTAGGGGTTCAAGGATTTGTGTTATGAAGAAAACAAACATTTTGTTTTCTCAGATCTTAATAAGTTCTGGTCTGGGTCCTGGAACCTGAAGCCTTTGTAGAGCTTTGGATGGGATAAAGTCTCCAATCCTAGGTCCACATATTACCTCATAGCCAGACCTCATTAATTAGTACAGACCTTTTATATGTGAGCTGACTGATGTTTAGGGCTTTCTCTGCTGTGAGAGTCTGCTGCTGGGTGAAAAGGCTGCTTGCCTAAAGAACGCTAAAATGGTACATGTGTTGCTTGTTTGTTTGGTGAACCCAGTCAGGGACACCCAGTTATTCAGTAACTGACATAATTTTAGCTAGTTGCTTGGATGGGTAGATATTTTGTTTGCTTTATGCTATGAACTTGCTGTTCAAAGCCCTCCTACATTGAACTAGGTTTGTCAATTACCTTGCTGAATAAAAGTGCAGGACAAACCTACTTGAAATGCTCTAGCATGTCCCTGTCTTGTGCATGGTAGCCGCTGCCACTACCAGCTGAGCTGGTACCCTTTACAACTTGGAGTTCTAAAGGGTACCAGCTGTAAAGATGTGCTGCCATAAAGAAAAGATGCCTAATAAAGAATAAAATGGAGGAATAAAAAAAAAACTCTGAGAGAGTTGCAGAATGTGAGATGCTGCCCAGGGAGCAGTGGACAGATATGCTAGCACCCTTTTTAATGGGAGATCCCCAAAAGGCTTTGATTTCCAACCCCAGGATGCTAAGGTGTATCCTAAACTTAAAGGAGAAATCCTAGTTGGGCTTGGGGTTACCTTGGTTGTCTGAATGCAGTGTGTGTTCATCTGAGAAGCCTGTGAGGACCCAGATGTATGATTTGTTCCACAAGTGGTTGCAACCTGAACTGCTCAAGCCTCTTGTTGTGCAACATACTACTACCAAGGTCTATCTCTGAACACTGCCCTCCAAGCCCATAACACCTGGAAACTGCAAAACATGTCTATGTCAAGGGTAGCTGACAACCTCTCATTAGAGGTCATGGTTGGGGAGTTAGAGGAAGCAACCTCAGGGCCAGACTTTTGGGACAAAACATATAATTTAGATATATTCCTTTATAGCCACAAGAATATAAATCCACTTTGTGCGCAGCAAATGCCTTTGCAAAACCAGTTATTACCTTGTAGAAGTAGTGGCAACATAATTACTGTGCTGCACATAGCCTGTGGAGAGAGCAGGGTTGTGGGAAGGACCCTGCAGATCCCACCTACAACAGGTAGCTTGGAAGGGGCGTAGACAAGACCAGTCACCTTGCATAAAGAGAGCGAGCAGCAGTGATTGGTCTTAATACAGTACGCTCCAGCAGAGAGGCAAAAGTTTATACTAGATTACTGCACAGAGCAGGAAGAAATACAGAAAGCACGTCAAGATTAAAGCTAGAATGCACGTCTCTTATATTTAGGGATGCATTATACCATTATCAGGAACAGTGCAGATGCTGGGCATTTTCACGAGTACCTGCTGGGCACCTGCGATGGCTGTCCTTTACAGCACCCATCACGTTGCACATCTCCTCCTCTACCCGCACACAGCCCTGGTGAGATCGCATGCAGCCCTGGTGATACCCGAACGCAACCCGGGTGAGACCACGTGCAACTTTGGTGAGACTGCACACAGCCCTGGTAAGACTGCACAGCCCTGGTAAGACCTGCACGCAGCCGTGGTGAGACTGCATAGCCCTGATGTTTCCTGCACAGCCCTGGTGAGACCACATGCAACCCTAGTGAGACTGCACAGCCCTGGTGAAACCGCACACAGCCCTAGTGAGACCTTTCACATCCTCCTGAGACCCCACACAGCCCTGGTGAGACCCTGCACAGCCCTCGTCAGATCCCGCACATTATCTTGAGACCGTGCACAGCCCTGGTGATACCGCACAGCCCTAGTGAGACCTTGCACATCCTCCTGAGACCCCGAACAGCCCTGGTGAGACCCTGCACAGCCCTAGTGAGACCCCAAACATCGTCCTGAGATCCTGCACAGCCCTGGTGAGACCTTGCACATCCTCCTGAGACCGTGCGCAGCCCACCACTACTGATTAAAGGTTAAAACACTAGAGATGAGTCCTTCTTTCAGTGGCTTGGAGGGAGAGAGATCTTTGCAGAGAGCATAGCCTGAAACATTACTTTGTGTGCAGCTTAGAGTAATTATGCCAGTGAGAGGTTGATCAGTAGAAATAGCTCTGGCCAAAATGATTACGCAAGTTGAGAGAGTAGATCACTATTCTAACCCCTTCGATGAACACTTATCAGATAAGGGGAGGCAGAATATAAGCACAGACATTGTTGTGAAAATCCGCATATAGTCTATGGGATTATTTAGAAACTGTGATAAATCTATGTTACCACCATCAGCAAGTTTTCGTTAGGTGAAACATTGGCAGACTGTATGCATATCCATGAAATATGATGCAAAGAACCCCACAACAAATAGCACAGAGTAACCCGATATTTGGGGCACCCAGGGTGATGAACAGGAGAACTGACCTCACAAGCACACACATAAAGGTAGTGGCAGCAGCATTTTTTAGGTTCACTTCAAAAGAATAGCTTTTGAGGAACCATAATACTCTAAGTAACTTATCCAGATTATGAGTTATTAAAAGATTTCGTATGAGTTTGTTGCTATTACACTTAAGTACGTACCTCTTAATAAACCTAAAACTTCTGCATTACTGTATCAATAGAAAATAACACATCTTAGTATATAGCCCAGTTATTCAAGGTGTATGTTCAGGCAATAAATAACTGGCAATGACAACATTCTGCCTCTTCATATTCTGTAAAACATAGCTGGTGTTTATGTCAGAATCGCTTGTGTGAAATCATTCCCTACTGATGAGTGATAACCCTACAAAAAGGCTGAATCACTGCAGCATTATCACCCTCTTCTCCTACGCATAATACAACAATACATAGGCATACTACTGATTCCCCCAATGTCTTTGCGTTTTCATCATAGAATGTGCAGTGCAGCACTCACAGCATAGCAGTAAGATATGCTGCAAAGGGAGTGCAAGAATCCAATTATGTTGTCAGCAGAAGAGATGTTCTGGCATGGCTTTATTCTGCCAACAGTCCCTGCTGTACTAAAGAGGAAAAGTATTGGAAGCAGTCATGTTTCCCCTACAAAAACCAGCACATAAGGGTTATTTTTACTAATTAGATCAGAAACTGCCAGCGTGTTGATGTAGTGCTATGCATACACTACACATTCACACTTCTTCTCATCCAGCCTTGCCATATACTAAATTAAGCAATATAACAAACAAACACTAATGGTCAATGACATGGTGTGTAAATTAGTCCAAACAGATTAACTGAAACAGAAACAAGTGCGTAGAGAAAATAAAAACTTGGCATGGGACAACCATACAAAAAAAAAAAAAAAAGCTGACGTTGTGGTAGATGTGGTGGTTTAACATTCAAATCTTACACAATGGCAAAAGTAAGCATAACAACAAGACACATGATGGTCATCCTGCATTAGTAAGGTCTCCTTTCAAGCAGCAATTTCATGGCATGCAGTTGGTTCCAGATGTGCTGCCCATCATTTTCTGTAGAAGCACAAACCAGCAAAGCTAAAAACCAGCAACAGAGTGTTCCATCGTGAAAACTGAATTCAGCAGACAAAAAATACAAGAAAGAGTTCTGACAAAAAAGTAATTATTCCAAGGTATAAACAAAACCAAACTTATAGGAAGATCAGGTGCATGGCTGTGATGAAAGAGTGAGCATATTGCAGCCTGTGGTCCAAGGCTCAGGTTCACAGCTGCACACACATCTGCTTGTGAATGAGTGGAGCGTGCATGCCTACCACTGACTTTGGAGCCAAGTTAAAAGCCCAGCACAACCTAGGAGAGTTGCTGAGTGGTCGCCAGTTCCTGTGGCCCATGACCTAATCTGCATTCTGCTATCCTTTGTATCCTTATTTCCATTTGCCAACCCTGGCTTGTGTCCTGACTTCGCGTTCTGCCTGGTGACTTTCTACCCTTGCTGCCTGTCTGATGTCGATCCAAGGAATTGTACTTCAAATGGTGTGGTGCCCTCAGAGTCCTGATCTCAACATGATAAAGCCAGTCTGGGATTACTTGCAGAGACAAAAGGAAGTAAGACAGCCAAGTTTGCCGTAGAACTGTGGCCCATTCTCCAAGAGGCTTGGAGCAACTTACATACCATGGGGCTACCTGAAGGGCCGGATTTGCCAGTAGGCAATGAGTACCAATGACGATGCCTTATGTAAAGGGTTCTTCAATTACATTGAAGAGGTGATTTGTGTAGTTGTTCCTGCACTGAATGATGTACTAT